TACCTCCTAATATCCACCTCCTAATACCATCACATGGTGGGTGTTAAGATTTTCACATATGAATTGGGTGGGTGGACATTCAGCTCTTAACAATTTATTTTTTCTCCCACAAGCAAATCTAGATGTGAAATACAGTGATCTGTCTTTTCTCCATTGTTATAAAAAGGAGGAAAGCTACCGAGTATTTGTCAATCAACTCATTCTTTCATCACTGGCAAATGGGGGGTAGGGAAAGGGAACTAACATTTATCGGTGGTTACCACGTATGAGGCATAATGCTGTGTGCTTTAAGTACATTATTCTCTTGAACAGCACCCACTCATCTTAAAATACTTTATTCAGGTATCACTTTCTTGCATGTACGCTGTCTTCGCCATTCCCTTCCATCATGGAATTGACCCCTTTCTACTTTGGGCTCCCCTCTGCCCTTTAGCATTGCCTCGCTGGAGTCAGTGTTGCATATCTTGGTGTCTGTTTCTGCCTTTCTTCTAGTCTATTTGTGCAGAACGGAAGCCACTAGTCACAGCGCTACTGAGCATTTGAAGTGTCCAGTTCAAATTGAGATGTGCTGTGAGTGTAAAATGCACGTCAGATTTGGAAGTCTTAGTACGAAAAATAGAATATAAAATATCTCATTAGTAACCTCTATGTTGAAATAATAACATTCTGTATATATTAGGCTATATAAAGTATTTTTAAAATTAAATTTTCTTGCTTGATATCTAACTCCAGACCACTTGTAGGCCCCTCTCATGGCCCTCTTTCCATGAAACCCTGCATTTACTCCTAGTAATTGCCTCCACACCCCAGGCTTCCCATACACCATTGTACCTCCTTCTTCCTTTCCATCCAACCTAAGATTATCAGGTTGACATTCAAAGATCTCCAAACCTGGGACTCACTTCCCATCATGCATGTCTCCTCCCCTTAAACCCCGCACACGTGTATTTCAGCTACACTTTTCTACTCTCCATTCTTCCAATATGCCCTTCAAAAGTTCTCACCTCTTTACTATTGCACAAATGTTTTGCCATGCCCTAAACGGCTTTTGAAAAGTTTACCTTCATTACTACCGTAACCTGATCCACACTGCTGAAAAGAATTTATTTCCAACTGCTGGACCTCTTCCCTGTTCTCAGGTTATAAGTGAATATGTGGGCTTTAGGCTCCAGTGTTTGCTGCTGGCCTGTGTTTAATGTGAGGCCATGAGATTTACATGGAGCCCATGAGCATTAAGTGAGAATGTCAGAGAAAATCCTGTGTGCAGGGACTTTGTAAGCATTTCACTGACAATACGGCTAACTTTTCTGCTTTGTAAACTGAGCTTGATACATGTGGCATTTTGTTGACATGGGACTAGCTCTATTTTCTTTTGGCTTCCTGCTGAGAAATATGGTAAACAGGGTAAAGCCTCCCTAATCACAAATTCCTCTTTTGTGAAGTCTTAGCCTTTGGAGATTTACTTCTGTGTATCTCGTTGGTGGCCTTGAGGATATTAGATCAAGAAAGTAAAAATGGTGGAGATGTGCGAGTTTCAAAATCAGCACTTCACTCAAACACTTGGAGGGAGGGTCAGGGGAAAAGTGCTTCTTGAGAGGCATATTATTTGCTACAAAGCAAAACGAATTGACAGACATATCCTTGAAATCAGAGGAAACAGAATCCCTGAAGTATTTCTAGTGACCAAACGGTGGTAATTTGAAAGGCATCACATTTTAGCCTTATTTAAGACCAGAGAGCATGGTAAGGCAGTTAACAGCATGGATTCTAGCGTGGTTAAAAAAAATCCTGGTTCCAACACTTACTTGCTGTCTGATCTTAGGCAAGGACAAAACTCGTATGCTTCAGGCTTATCACCTATAAAATGGGCATAATGATAAAGCCTACTTCTCAGGGCTGTGGGGAAGATAAGCAAGTTAATGCATATGTATATAAACTCTCCCCTCCCTCACCAAATATTTTTATTGATTTCAGAGAGGAAGGGAAAGGGAGAAAGAGAGAGAAACATAAGGATGGGAGAAAATCATTGATCGGCTGCCTCCTGCATGCCTCCCACTGGGGATGGAGCCCATGACCTGGGCATGTGCCCTGACCAGGAATCGAACCGTGACCTCCTGGTTTATAGGTTGATGCTTAACCACTGAGTCATGACATCTGGGCTGTATATAGCTCTTTTAACAACATATAGTAGGTGCCTTAAAAATGCCATTCTAATTATTATTATCCTATATAGTAATCCTATACAATAAAAGGCTAATATGCAAAGAGACCGAACCATGGAATGACAGGTCGCTATGACGCGCACTGACCACCAGGGGGCAGATGCTCAATGCAGGAGCTGCCTCCTGGTGGTCAGTGCTCTCCCACAGGGGAAGCGCCGCTCAGCCAGAAGCCAGGCTCACGACTGGTGAGTGCAGCGGTGGTGGCGGGAGCCTCTCCCACCTCTACAGCAGCACTAAGGATGTCTGACTGCTGACTTAGGCCCACTCCCCACCATCAGTCGGACATCCCCCAAGGGTTTCTGAATTGCGAGAGGGCGCAAGCCGGGCTGAGGGACCCCCCCCCACCCCCCTGTCGAGTGCACGAATTTCGTGCACTGAGCCTCTAGTTATTATATGAAGTCTTTAGTAGTTCTTTTATTTAGTTGTTTTATTTTCTCACTTGAGGAAACTTGAATGTCTTTTTAAAGGCTTGTCTCATCTCTACCCTACATTTTCTATGTTGTCTCTAGTTCCTCATCCTCTTTTAGCCACCTGTTCCTTATATTTCAATATGTGGTTTTCCAACAACTATTGGTGTGGAGCAACTGATGCCAGGCGGGGTTATGCTATGCTGAATACTTTATTTATATTTTTGTGTAAACATAATTTGCTTTGTAGGCACAATATAACAAAAGCTCTAAAGCCACAAATACATTAGACAATGTTGCAATTCTCTCCAATCATGCTTAGATTACAGAGAAGCCGTCACAGTTCCTTTAAGGCAAACTGTTACCTTCTTAAACCTCCTTCAGAAAACCATCACATGAGGGGAAAGAAGGTGCTTGGGATGAGAGTGCAATACACAGATCGTTTTGATTCTCTTGTTTTCCTGTTTTTCGTGGCACTTAATTGATCATATTGGTCAAACTCTAGCTTTCTCATTCTGTATTCTGAGGAGACAGAAGGGTTGTTTTTTTTAACCAACTGGTGTTTTTTGTGATTATTCTATTAATCTTGCTAGTTGAGAAAATAGATTTGGGGAGGAATTACTTTTTTGGCTTCTCCTCTGGATGTAACAAGAATGTGGGGTCCCACTCACCTGGCCGAGGAGAGCCCTCATACGGCCAGTGGCTCTTTGCTCCCCCAGCCATAGAAAATGCAATTTCTGTCCAGCTCACCAGAATGTCACTTGGGTAGCTGGACAAAACGGAAGAAATGGTCTTCTTAAGACCCCATTGTCAACTTGGTTGTGGGAGAAAGAATGACCAAAACTGCAGCGTTTGGCAAAGGTGTTGGGATAACATCTCAACATCATCTCTCTAAATGGCACAGAACTGGGATGCTGGGGAGTCCTGGGGTACAGGGAGAAGAGGATGTTGTGTCCTCTTTGAGATACTCTCATCTCTTCACATGAGATGGCAGCACCCTTTCTTCATATTTCACATGGACATTCACAACGAGAGACTCTCCCCTCAGATAAATATTTGTTACAAAAGGACTGAAAATGAAAATAGGTAATTGCTGAAATGCATTTTTCATCACGTTGAGGAAGAGTTGGTCTACCCTTAGGGCTCGTTGGTGGAGAGATCGGGCAATGTGGACCCCCCCACAATATCTTCCAGAATGTAAAGTGAGCTGGGGTGCTAACCCTGTGGGCTTCTTGTGTTCCCAGTTTGGTTTAGGAGGAATGGAGTCACCCTTTTGGGAGGAGGGAACGAGGAGCCCCCTTGTGGAGACATTGAGCCTCTTTCTCTTCCTGCAGGGGAACTGTTCACCTCAGCCATGCCAAGTGGGGTGGGGCCAAGGGCAGGGTTTCTTAGAAGTAGGAGCTGGAAAATTGAACAAAGGTGTGTAATCAAAGAGTTTGGTCCCCGATTTGCCCAATGCAGGGTCCCTGCAAAGAATCTGCAGCATAATTTTATATTTCAGAGGAGAGGAACCACATATTTGGCATTTGATACTGAATTCTTATACCACTAGAATTTGTTACATGTTGGAACATGCTTTGGCAAGTAAAAGGATGCTCATTGATTTTTTTCCTCCGTCTACCACGGAGGTCTTCCTTGGGGGATCCACGGTAAACGTGGCTGTTCACTTCTAGGAAATGAATGTAGCAAAATTGGTAATACCAAAAGCAAGTGTGCAAACATAGGTGATTCTCAGTAATGATTTCTGAAATAGACCCACACGTGGTGAGTTTTCTTAAAACTAAAATACAGTATGTGGTGTGGAGAGGAGAGGATTTTGCTCATGAGATGTGGTCTCAGAGAGAAATCTCTGTGGCTGGTCTTCAAACGCATGCTGTTGACCCATCTTTTATCCTGAAAACTTCACATCTGTTTCCCTGTGTTTATGGATAAGAACCAGTGAAGGGATTGAGCATCAGAGGGCAAGAGGACAGCAGTTCAACCTTCTGACCATAAAGCAGTTGAAGGAAGTTGGGGGAGAGGGAAAGTACTATTCGAAGAGATCATAAATCTATGGGCTCATGAAATCATCTGGCCTATTCTCATTCTGCCAGCCAAATCGGCAAGTGCTCTCATCAGAGGCATGGGTGGTTGGCAGTGAAAAGTATTATTGGCCTGAAGAATTCTAGGATCTGGATAGTGCTCTGTGATGACACCTTTCAATCCAAACTTGTCTTTGCCCATGTCTAGTCTCCTAGGCATGGGGCCTGTGGGCTTGTGTTAATCAGACTGTTCTAGAACCATCGAGAAGGAGTCAAAGATGGATGGTTTTGAAACAGGAGAGAGGAGAGTGTAATACACAGAGGGGAAGGGACATAACACTGCATGGAATGGGGTTGGCACTTAATTTCAAAAAACAACAGTGATCAAAGCTTTTTAGCTCAGCTGACTGCAGACAAACACGACACGCACTGGACTACAGCATTTGTTCACTGGGGCACAGAAGAGCTTTCTTCAGTGGCTCCTCTTCTTTCAAACCATCCTTCGTTCTTCTGCCCAGGTCCTGGGTTACTGGATAAAGGGCATCCGCTCCTTGTTCTCGCTGTCCCCCTCATGGTCCTCCTCCTCTTCTCCAGCCTCGCTGGTCTCCGTGCTGTCATTGGCCATCTGTAATCCAACAGTAGACTTGTGAGAGGGCTCTGCAACCTAACCCCCACCTTTTCTGAGCATCTGATGAAGCCACTTGGAAGGACTTCTTTAAGGGCCAAGAGCTAGGAAACCCTGCACTGCTTGCTTCCCCAGGAAGGCAGTGTGGTATTAGCTGCCTTATGTTGGGCACCCCAAGAAGCAGTCTCTGAGCTAAGGATTTGAGTGCATGTCTTTGGAATTTAGGAGATGACTCCTTTGAGTGTACTCTTCCATCCAGATGGGCTGTAGCCTCCACCCACTCTAGAGATACTCCAAATACAGGTCTGAGTTGGCCCATTCTCCATCATCTCTGTTTCCTTAAGTCCCAGGGTAAAAGTCCTCCTGAGATTCAGGGACAAGGGCAATGATATATGAGCCAAGGCAGGTTTTCAGTTCTCACATGAAAAGGTCTGCCTTTCAGATTCTGCTCTGATAAGAGCCCCCTTCCCCCACCACACACACACCTTTGGCATCAAACAGGCCTTCCCGCCAGCCCTAGAGCCCAGCAGGACCTCATGGGTAAGGAGACGGGTGGGAAGCCAGTGCCAGCGATTTGACTTGAAAGCACCAAGCAGACCAGGATGCCTCTACCTGTCTGCCTTATACTGATGGGGCTGGAACAGACTTGGTCACATGTTTAAAGAACACAGCACAGGTGCACAGAAGACCAGATACCAGCCATCTGCTCCTCCTTACCCTGGTCCCTCATCTGCTTAAAACACTTGTTGGCACAGACCTGGAACTATATTCATATTGTTATCAGCGACTTAGACATTGTAAAATGCCCTTTCATTTAACAGTCCTTCATTGAGAAAAATGGCCATCATACCTAAACTACATTATGGCTATGAAAGCCCAGTAAACACTTTTAAAAAATACATGCCTTACACTAAAACATGCAAGACATTTTAGGTCTTGCTCTTTCATAAATGACTGAAGCAGCTCCAAGATTAAACATGTGAGAAAACAAAAACCCTAAGTATTTTCTTTGTCAAACCTTTCCTAGAATTTAGTGTGTGTGAGAGACAATGTTTTAGCATATCATTCTAATTGAGAACTTATCAATTTCCAATTTACAGACGGGGACTGTAAATTGCAGCAAGTAATTGTGGCAAAGTAATTGCCCAGGTCACACACAGGAGCTCAGAGCTGAACTTTGAATCATGCCGTCTGGTGAAAGCTGCCCTGTTGACTGCCACACTAGTACCTAGCCCCTCCCCCCACCTCAAGTGGCCATTGCAAGAGCCTATGGGATGTGAGTGACAGGCTTCATTCCTGGATATAAGGGTTTTAAATTGATCAGAGAAAACAAAAGCAATGCAATCATCAGAAGCCATCTCAGAGGCAGTTGGCATCAATCTGTCAAGTATGTGCATGTGAATTTATTAGATTTTTTTTGCCAGGGATTCCTCCTATTCGTGACAGCCAATAGTTGGCATTTGTCATAGACACAGGTCATTGTTTCTATCCTTTCCTGACTGCCCTCAGATTGCTCTTGAAATGCTCTCACGGAAGACTTTTCCGTTCCTTCTCAGCATTTATCTCAGTTTGTGGCATCCCTTATTTGCGCCATCCTTTGATTATCGCTGGTCACCTTCGCCAGCCCAGGACCTGGTATATTTTCCCCTGCTCCATCTGTGCCTGCACCTGATCAGACCTCTTGTGTTGAACTGAACGGATCCCTCTGCTTTTGACTCACCAGTGGAGTCGGGGTCTTCTCTACATCCAGAATTAACTTGCCAATGTTCCCTCGGTCATGGATCCGCTGCATGGCCTCCTTCACCTGAGAGGGAGAAAAAACGGAAACACAGGTTAGGTGCCATGTCTCCCTAGGGCAGAGGGACTGGAAAAGCCAAGCCACCACATTTCCACCAGGGGGCGCTGTGGTTCAAGTTTAGTGGCGAAACCTGAGATGGGTTTGGATGTTGGGTGCAAATAAATTCTGGTTGTGTCACGCACTCTGATCTGTACAAGCAACTTGGTCTCCTGGGTCTAAAATATGAGGATGATTGCCCCTAAAATAAGTAAATTAAAATTTCTTTTTTAAAAAAGGGCTGTGTGTGAAGGGGTGGAGAGTTTACTGTGGAGTTCCAAGAGTTATGTGCTGCAGAGTGTCAGGGCACTTTAGCTGGAATAAATTTTGACCAATAAAATTATATTTGAGGGTCATTTGTGACCTGCTTACCTAAATGTTTTATTACTCTGCTTACAGTTTGGTTAAATGACTCATTCCCTGGGCTGAACTACGTTTTTTTAAAAAAATTCCCATGATTCCTAGTACAGGGTGAACATTTTATGTTCAAGTAAGTAGATATTTCCAGGGAACTAGTATTCTCTCCAGAAAAGAAGACCTTCTGTGTTGGGTTCCCCCCCCCCAAATGATGGGGGCCAACAGATGTTTCCTGGGATCCTTTATAAAAGCAGGGTTTGACACTCTGATTTATGCTTTGGGCATTTTATTACGTTGCTGTGTGGAAAATGAACTGTAGGGGGTGCTCTGAGTATTAAACCAGATAAGAAAAGGGCAAAAGAGAGCCCAGTGCTTGGCATGGGTATGTCCTTCACATCTCTTAGTGATTTCTAAATGGAAATTCAACATCTCCTGATTAAAAAAAAAAGTTTTCAATAGATTTAGCCTAAATATTTTTCCTAAAGTCTCAAATTTTTAAATATTTTTGTTCATTCATTTAGCCCACAATATTCATTAAATGTTGCTTAGAGGCAAGAGGCCATGTTTTAAAAAAATTAAAAACTAAGTGAGGGTGTCTGCCTTTGAGGAACTCAATCTGGGGCTGATGGAACAGTGTTTGCTTATATAAAAACCAAAGCCATTTTCTCATTTGGGTAAAAACTTGACAGAGCCATTAAAATGTGTGCATTCTAATTGCTTTCCCTGGGATTTTATCCTAAAGACATAATTCAAGTTGTGGGGGAAGAAACTTACCACACAAAAGACACTCAATCACAGCATTGTTTTAATGGGAAAACATTAAAGCAACTTATGTGTCACAGATAAAGGGAATGGTTAAGTAAACCATGATTCTTACATTTTTCTACTGAATGGAAATGTTACGTAGGTGTTAAAGTGCTAATTACAAAGAATGTACAGCAGGATAAAATGCCTTTATAATATTGCTAAATGAGAAAATCAAGATGCATATTTTTATTTGCATCCCCATAAAAACATGGACATCTGAAAATAACTAGGTATATGCTAAAACATGATGTAAGGGAGATGTGTGCCTTTTAACTCTCATGTCCAAACATTGTCATTTGGTAACAAGTAATCAAATCTGTATTCAATATAAATTAAGTGCATCTCTAAATATAGTCTTTAGATAGAATCAGCATCTATAATAGACTGATAGTGTCATATGTTTGCTAACTTTCTTTTTTTCTTTACTGATTAAGGTATTACATGTGAGTCCTTATTCCCCGCCTCCCTTGCCCCCCACCTCCCCACTCATGCCCTCACCCCCCTGATTGATAAATTTCTTGATCATAATACATAATCCAGTGGATTTCTTCTATTTCTGTGGTGAACATTGCTTTGCAAAGTACTCTCATAGTTGGTCATAATAGCAGCTGCCATTTACTGAGAATCTTCGAATATTGTGGCAGACAGCTTCTAATGGTCACTTCCTGACACTCACACCCATGTGAATGTGGCCTAGACTTAGTGACTAGCTTCTAACAAGTAGAATACAGCAAAAGTGATGGGATGTCACGTCCAAGATTAGGTTAGAAAAGACTGTGACTTCTGTCTTGCAGTCTCTCTCTTTCTCTGACTCTTCTTGCCTTCTTGCTCTGATGACACAAGCTGCCCTGTTGTGAGCTGCCCTATCTCCACAGGCCCACATGGCAAGGCCAACAGCCAATGAGAGAGCTTAAAAGCAGGTCCTTCCCCAATTCAGCCTTGAAATGAGACCAGAACCCTGGCTGACAGCTTTAGAGAGATCCTGAGCCAAAGGACCCAGCTAAGCCATGCCCAGATTCCTCATACACAGAAACTGTGAGATTGTAAATGTTGTTTTAAGCTAATAAATGTTGGGGAGGGGTAATTTGTTATGCAGCAATCGATAACTAATACATTCTTATCTTGCATACATAATTCTTACCTTACAAGTTATATATCATACCCATTTTGTAGATAAGTACCTCAGTGCCAAAGGGATAAGCAATTTGTCCTAAGATTCTATATCAGCATTAGAATTGTGCTTCAAACTCAGGTTTGTCAGATTTCAAAACTGATGCTTTTCCTGATTCTGCCCAGACCATATTGCTTGGTTTGATTCTCAAAGTCAGAGGAAAGTGGTAGGTAACGTCTCACATAATGATTTCCCAGAATTCAGTGGTTTATTACCCTGGCAAGTCATTAAACACCTGGAAACTTCTTAGAGATTAGGAACAATTTTTAGGCTGCTTCTCCAATAAGACAGAGCCCAGGGAAGCAGAAAAGGCTGTTTTCTTGCCAGGTAATGCTTATTGTGATACTAGAAAAAGAAAAAAAAAAAGCCCCTGCAGGGCTGGCTATAATCTGCCTATTCTTTTAGACATTTCTTTCTGAAATGCACTGAGTCCTTGAAGTCCCTATGTGGGGGATGGAGAGAGAGTTAGGAGTTTTTCCAAGAGAAGTCTGACTCCCAGTCGTGCTGCTTGAGTTTACAGCATCTTAGCTGTTCTTGGAGATGTGAAAGAGTCCTTTGGATGATAACTTAGAAAGAAAAAAACTACCTTTTTTTGATCAATTCTTTATCCGGCACAGTATGAGGCATTTTACAGATGTTGCTTCATTTTATCTGTACACCAAGCCTTTGAGGTGAGTATTGGCATTACAGTTTCACAGACGAGAAACCCAGAGGTTTCTGTCCTGTCTATCCTGTATCCCAGAGTCCCTGGCAACCTTGGTGGCCTGCTGAGTGCTGCCTGGGTGGCCTAGTGGAGTCTGCTCAGAATCAGGGTGTGGTTCCCCACACCCATTCTGAGATTCCACTGCCAGCTGCATGGCTGGTTAGATCTGGTCTTAGTAGCTGGATTTTCCAGAAGTAGGGATTCTGGGCATACTCAGGCCATCTCCACTGGAGCTGGTTTCTCATCTAGACAGTGGGAAGGAATTTGAGCCACGTCATTCGAATACCTTAAGAGGCCAAAATCCTGAGTACGGAGGCCATCTGAGCCTTTTCTGACACTTCTTGTCCTGTGGAAGCCATCTTAATACCGTCCTAAGTGGATGGTGGCAGGAGGCAGTGGGAGCATCACTTTGTGCTAGGCTCTGCTTTGACTCAGTAATGTCACTCCATCAAGTCACATCATAACTTTGTTCCTCAACTTTTTTATATGTTAAGTGAAAATTGCTATTCTATCCATTCCCTTATTCAGTCAGTCAGTCAGTCACCCAAAGGTGCCAAAGCCCTATCCCAGGAGCTGTTTATAGAGTAATGGGTGAAACAGATATGCTTTCTCTATCCTAAGGGAATCCCAGTTTTATTTATTAAATAAGCTAATCATCATAATAAGAATTTCACAATTTAAAAAATGTGTTCCTGATTTGTTTATTTTGCCCTCACATGGATCATGACCTATCAGAGTTGATCCTGTACCATTGGTTCATGCATCAGCAAAGTCCATTGGCATTCAAGATGGCATGCAAGCATGAAAATATAATTGGCTCAGACCATGTTTGCAGAGGAGCAGTAGTTATGATCATTCTTTTTTCTGTCTGCAATGTTACTAGAAGAAGTGGGGTTTCTGGAAGCCAGGTAAAATGATGGTGAGTAAACACTCACAAGATCCCCTCCCATCATGAAGTTTATGATCTTACAGGAGACACAGCCTTAGTCAACCAAAGAATGACTCAAATAAATGTAAGATTGTCCTTGGTAACTCTACAATGGTATCATGAGAATGTGGATAGGGGATTTGATCTGGTTGGGAAGATTAGAGAGGGCTTCTCTAAAGAAGTGATAATTTAGCTGAGATTTAAAGGATGCACAGGATGTACCTAAGACAAGAAGGGAGAGAGGACCATTTCAAGCACAGGGAGAAGAATGTGAAAGGAGAGACTGAATAGGGGCTAGTGGGCATGGGGACAAGGAGCAAAAGTAAATGTGGGACAAGATGCTGGGAACATTGGCTGAGGTCTTTGGTACTATATTCCAAAGTTTCCAAGGATGCAGCAGCCACACCAGATCATACAACTCTAGAATATCTTCTAGTCACCTTCTAACTGAATAGTCAGTTCCTTCACACTTGGGTAAAGAGGGTCTCATTTAATGTTTCATAATATTCAATTTCCTTTTGAATGACATGTTAGGCACAAAGTCATTAGGATACAAATGACACCACTTAATAATCAAAGCATTGGGCTTGTGTTATGAATAATAATAAGCCTAGCCACCTAAAATAGGAATAAAATAAAGATGGATTATTCCATGGATCTCTGTGCTGATTAGATGATAAATTAAAAGATTTGAAAATAAGAAATGAGTAATACTGCAATTAAGAAGCACATCTACCAAAGTCATCTACGATATTAACAATGGCCATCTTTGGGATTCTGTAAAATCCAAAGTGGGTGTTGGAAAGTAACATGTTCATTGCACGTAGACTTGGAACCTGGAATCTCTGTGTTCTGTCAAGTAGCTGCAGGAGTTGAAAGGGAGTGAGCCCCAGAGATTTTGACATCGATGGAAGAGTGACTGGAGAAGTGAAACATCAGGGATTATGGACTCTCCCACTGGAAAGGCAGAGAAAAGATTTTAACACTCATGTTCTTTCTGGACC